AGTGGGCGGGTCTCCCCACAGGAAAGGGTATGATCACAGTGGGCGGGCCTCCCCACAGGAAAGGGTATGATCAGTGGGCAGGTCTCTCCACAGGAAAGGGTATGAACACAGTGGGAGGGTCTCCCCACAGGAAATGGTATGATCACAGTGGGCGGGTCTCCCTTGCTTAGTTAACCTAATGCGGATAATTTTCTGCCAGCCAGCCCGGAGCTTATCGAGTTGAGAGCTGGACCAACCATCATGGCAAGTTCTACCAACTCATTCTGAGCACTGTTAGCTGCACGTCTTCTTTTCATAGATGAGGAAACTGAGAGCAGACAAGGTACAAGTAAGCCGTGAAGCCCTTGTTAATGGTTTGGATGTGACATGGCCCCCACGGGCTCCTGTACTTGAACATTTGGTCCCCAGCTGGTGGCACTGTTTGGGCAGGCTGTGCAACACTCAGGAGTCGAAGACAAGGATGGGTATGGCTGGAGGGTGAGCCCTGGGGTTCATCGCCTCCTCCTCCTCCTGCCCAAGCTCTTGGCTTCCTGGTCAGCACTCAGTAGCAAACGGCTGACGCATGGCCTGCCACTCTCCTTCTCTGCCACTCTCGCAAACCGTGAGCCAAAACAAATCCCTCTTCTCTCAGTCTGCTTCCGTCAGCTATTCTGTCACAACAGTGGCGAGGAAAACAGACACATCAGTTTTGGTCACTCAGCATCCCTGGGGCCTTTGGGCGGCCACTGCTTAGTCCACTCTAGGAGGCCCTGGTCATCAGTGTTCCAGCTCCTTTGTGGATTCAGACAAGGCTGATCAGAATGTCCTCCTGGGAGTGACTCAGCAGAACCAATCAGAATCTTCCATAGGACTGTGTAAAGCTAACCACCTAGCCCCAGGCCTGGTAATGCACCTGCTTAATCCCAGCACTTGGGAGGCAGAGGAAGTCTGTGAGTTCAAGACCAGCCTGGTCTCCTTGGTGAGTTCCACGCTGGCCAGGGGTACACAGTGAGAACATGTCTTTACAAAGTAAACTAACACATCTAACTGGGCAGGAGGTGGTATCCAGTCTCTGAAACTGGTTTCCGGTGAATGTTACGATTGGGATTCAGGTGCTGGGCAGCTGCTTCACACGCAGAGTGCAGAGCCCCTAGCATGGTTCTACTGAGGAAGTGAAAGTTTCTGTGGGACTTCTCTGATTGTATTCTCCCAACCCCGGGTGGGTGGAGGCCACACAGAGCAGTCACCTGGGCAGCACAGGCCTACCTCCCAACAAGAGGTAGGCCCCATGGGAAGGTCCCAAGAGTGTGTGCCTTTGAAAGGGGCTAGTGAGACCCTGACTCCTCCCCCTCTCTCCTGCTCATTCCTAGCCCTGAGGTAAACACCACACCCTCTTGCTGGGATTTATTGCCCAGTCATGGTCCCCAAAGCAAGCAACCATAGACTGAAACCCCCAAAGGTACCAGCGGAGACCAGCCTTTCCTCCTTTGCACCTGGCAACTCTTCCGGGTGCTTTGTTACAGTAACAGAAAGCTGAGGGACAACAGCCAGACCTCTTCCATGCTCAATAAAATAGCCTTCAAAGCAGCCTCCACTTCAGCACTGGCTGACACTCAGGGCTGCTGAGGAGGGACATCCGGCTTCTGAGCTACAGCTCAACAGCTCAGGTGGGAAACAGTTTAGGCTTAGGTTGGGAGTGTCCATGATCTCTATTCTAAGTATTCTAATGTATGACTAAAACACGTGGCTGTGCCTGCTTCCAGTAAAGCTTGCTTACTCATAGAAGTTCACAGTTTCCTGGGCCCTCACACAGAGGAACCATGGAGAGTGCAAGACCCTCATCTCCATGAAAGAGAGAGACACAGACTGCCAGTCTGAGACCCCTTTCATCCCCAAATCGCAATGGAGCTCAGTTCCCCAGCCAGGGCTACAGATGCTGAGCAAGCCATCTAGAACATTCCAGCTTAGGAGATCCTGGGGCCTGCAATCTTGGCCAGTGTATCATCAAGCCGAGGAATCCCCAGCTGTATGTAATCAAGCCACACACTCATGAAGAAGGGATACAAAACTATCCTTTTGAGCCTCGACAGTTTGGAGTGCTTAGTTAGCTGGCCATCTTAGATGAAACAGTTTGTCAAGTCTGGCATGCCTGACTATACGGTTCTGTGTGCTTTCCATGCTTGGCAGGACCTCGGCTAACACCCTCCTGTGCCCCAGCCATAACAATCCAAAAGGCCTTTCAATGTTTCTCCAAGAGATGCTGGAGTGGAACACCTACTGCAAACAGTAGCAGTAAATACTAGAAGTTGTGGCACCACCATCTAACCGCCCCACCACGTTGGAGTCAAGCAAAAATTAGGAATACTAAATCAACAGTCAAAGTCAGCAGACCCGTGAGGGTCACAGGCCCGAGGTCACTTTGCTGTCACCAGTTGCTTCTCCATTTAAGAAAAATTAAGAATTACATCTTTTTGTTTGTTTGTTTGTTTGTTTGTTTTGTTTTTTGAGACAGGGTTTCTCTGTGTAGCCTTGGCTGTCCTGGAACTCACTCTGCAGACCAGGCTGGCCTCGAACTCAGAAATCCACCTGCCTCTGCCTCTCGAGTGCTGGGATTAAAGGTATGCGCCACCACCGCCCGGCCCAAGAATTACATCTTATGACATCAGTGGTATAAATAAAACAAGTCAAGCTAGGGGTATAAGTCCATTGGCAATGCTTACCCAGAAGGAGACAGGGAAAGGGAGAAGGAGGAGGAGAGGGAAGAGAAGGAAGAGAGGAGGAGGGAAGGAGGAGGGAGAAGAAGAAGACGGAAGGAGGAGAAGAGGGAGAAGGAGGAGGAGGGAGGAGAAGGAAAGTAGTGGGAGTCAGGCGGTGGTGGCCCACGCCTTTAATCCCAGCACTTGGGAGGCAGAGGCAGGCGGATTTCTGAGTTCGAGAGTTCGAGGCTAGCCTGGTCTACAGAGTGAGTTCCAGGACAGCCAGGGCTACACAGAGAAACCCTGTCTTCCTGTCTTGAAAAAAAACAAAAAAACAAAAACAAAAAAAAGAAAGAGAAGTGGGAGGAAAAGAAGGAGGAGGAAGGGAGGAGACAGAGGAGAAGGAAAAGAGAGGAGGAGGAAGCAGAGGGAGGAAAAGAAAAAGGAAGAGGAGAGGGAGGAGGGGGAGGAGAAGACACCAGATTCAGAATCATTACTATATTCATCTATTATGATTTTAAAATTAACCAACTGAAACAAACCATCCTGTTGAATTTAAACACAATGGCACCTAAGCACTGATCCTGTTCTGCCTGCAGGACGGGTTAGCTCAGAGTGTAAGGGCCGAGTCAGAAGACAGCATCCCCAT